CTGGCTGGCATGAAAGGTTTGCAGGGCTCGGGAACCACTGTCTCTCTCCCATGCTCCGTGAGCTACCATGCAGGGGAACTTGTTCCCAATACAACTGGAAGATCCCAAGGCTGTCTAGACTTGAACTTGGGGGCAGGGACAGTGATCTATTAGCCAGTGGTTATATATGGTGGGGTGAGAGGCTCTGTGTTTTTGTCCAGGGAAACCATAATACAAAACCATGTTGCAGGGAGAGGGTTAAAGAAGTTTGAGCAGGGTTGGGGTTTACAGCTACTAGGTCAAAAGTAAGGTCTTAAACCCAGACTTCTCAAGTTTAGAGTTCAGTACTTTGAACCTGAAATTCAGGAGGATGAGTTTGTTTGTCAAAGCCTTTCAAAGAGCTGCCATTATACCTGAGTCTCCAGAATGGGTTTTCTCGAGCGCTGATCCCAATATTAATCCAACCAAAATCTCACCTCAAAGTGAACAAACAATGGCAGAGACTATGTCTGTGTCCACCCCATCCTGGGGAAACTGAAGGATGAGAAAACCATCCCCTGCTGGCCCAACCTGTGCCCAGGCCCCCGGGATCAGCCAGGCGGCACATACCTCAGCTCTTGTCACTGCCTGCCTCGGAGGATTGTTCGAGCCAAATTTCAGTGCTGGGGTTGCTCTTTCAACAAACCAGGAGTGTAATAAGCATCAAATAATCATTATTTTGAGCAACTAGTCCCACCAGGCCCCTGTCAAAGTCTGAATACATTAGCTTGTTTATTTTCCTAACAGCTCCTTGGGAGCAATACACAGTATTTCTAATTGTAATGTTGTGGGAACAGATGGTCACTTAAAGTTAAAAGGTGACTGAGGTAGGGGTGCTGGAGACCAGCTCCAGCACTTGGGGTGACAGAGGTTCCTGGTCAGTGAAGGTGAAGGAGGGACAGGGACACTCCTTCAGGTGTAAGCATCCTCTGCTGACAGTCTCAGCAGGTCTTTATTATTTTTATGTTAGCAAGCAGTGGGGTTACATCAGCATATGCATTGAGAAAATAACAACTATCACATTTCCCCAAGAAGTTTGAAGTCTGTGACCCCTTTAACCAAGATTATAACACTTATCATTTTTTAAGGGAAACACAGCTAACAAGCAAAATGTTATTATGATTATTCTTTTTTGCAGCTGAGCAATTTATTCATGATAAAGCAGACAGATGAATTTGTATAGTTATAACTAACATTTCTACTTATAATATAATAAAAAATTAGCAAAACAAAAGGAAAGCTTCTTTTATCTCTAGTTACTACAGATCCTTATTTTCATGAAAGCATCCTAAAAGATTAAAACAAGGCCAGGGCAGAAATGAAAAAGTTCACTGTACTCAGTTCTAACATTAAGAGAGATAGTAGAGTTGAAGGCCAAACAACAAAGGCTTAAGCTTTCTGGTTCCCAAAGTTTTTTCCTCCAGAACTTAATTTAGTGTACACATCTGGACAATAATGGAATGAGGGAGTTTGAATTATCGGTTTGGACAGGAAAAAATGGCTCTGGTTATTTTTACAATGTTATTAGTACTGTGTTACTTTGCTAGATTAACTTTACAGAAACAGCCAATTGTTTTTATTAAAACAGCCAATTATAAAATCAATTTTTACAATCAAGTGCATCCAAATGCAAAAATGGTTGCAATTACAGGAGTGGCCAAAACAGAACAAAGAGATCCAGGTGGAGCCAGCTTTGGGGTCCCTAAATTTTCAGGGGCACCCCCACATCGGACCATCGGACTTTGTCAGATGGTCTGAGATGTTTGGCAGGCGCCATAGGGGCTTCCCTGGTGGCACACAATGTTAAGACACAGCACTAACAAGCTATCTGCACCCACTGCAGCACAAGTTCAATCCCCGGCCAGGGAACTGACCCACATGGCACAGCACACCTCTCCTGTCTCATCCTCAGCAGTGTATTTCTGTAGATCTGCCTGTTCTGTTCCCCACTCTGTCTCTGGTGAATACTCCCACTGCCTCCCACCCCACACATCTCTGGCTTATCCCCCAGTTCTTGTATGCATAAACAAATACATAATCATTAAGAATTTTTTGGAAAAATTAGTATATACTTAGTCAACCATTCAAGACCATAAACTTTTCTCCTGCAGAAGTATTTTCCTGCAACAATTCATTCATTTGTTTATTGTTTCAAAAATAGTTTACATCATTTTTCATTTTTTGTGCAGTATTTGATTTCCCCCTCACCTATAATCCTGCCTCACAGCACCCATGATCCATCTCCATAGCTCCTTGTGCTCTTCCCTCCACTGTCTATTTATTCATTTTTTTCTTTAGCGGTACGAAGACTGAAAAATGACACCTTTAGCATATTAACTTAAGTTGTACTTAACTACAAATGCAAATACTAGCCATGGGGCCCAGGTAACAAGGGGTCTCCAGATGCTATGCACCTCACTCAGCTGTATGTTCTTCTCCACACCACCTCCTCTCCTCTCTCCCAGCCCTGAAAACATCATTGTACTTTCTCCTCTTGTGCCTCATTGACAATTTGGGGATTCCATATAAAATATAAATATGCAATATTTGTTTTTCTGTGTCCAGCTGATTCCCTCTGGAGTAACGCCCGTCTGGTACATCTATGCTGATGGTGAAGTAGATCTCCCTGTTCACCATGGCAAAGGATTTGCCCCAGACGCCACCTCCTTAGGTAGAGTTGCATGGTCACCTGTTGTTCACAGGTGATCCATTGAATTTTCTATTCAGTGCAGATAACACATCCACTCTGGATGTCTTGCCAAGACTGACTTCTTGTCTGGCTGCAATGATGGAAGAGTAGTCCCAGAAACTCGACTGGAAAGAAAAATTACTAGGACACAGGAGGAAGAAGCACAGGGAGACTTCCTCCCCGAAATGAGGCGGCAGGGATTAGCTGACAGCTAGGGTGCAGAGGGTCTCCAGGTGAGGGGCATCTGGAGCTGAGGCCCAGCCAGGGTGAGAGTTCCTGCCACAGGCAGGCGCCAGACTGGGGACATCCGCTAGGGCAGGCTCTGGGGCTCCCAATGCCGGCTCTTCTTCTGCGAGCACATCCTGCTTTCTGAGCCTGGGGACCAGGAACCCTCCTTGTTCTTCATGCCAGGCACATGTTCTGACCCTCCCCTGAGGAGGGCCCAGAAACCATCCTCCAGTCCCAGCCCCTTGCTCTTACACTTGAGTGACTTACAACAGGGTAATCTCCAGGAAAGGGGCCCCTGCCCCACCCCCAGGAATGGTGGAGCTGAGCTGAGAAGGAAGGAAGGAGACCCGGAAGAGGACCTGGAGGAGGCCCACAGAGGAGAAATGTGTGCAGAAGCTGTGCTTGCTTCTTTGACTGGGATTTGTGTGAGAGGCCAGGGAACATGGAGGGAAACATTTGAGACAGACATGGGCAAGAGGCCTGAGGGAAGACTGATGATGGAGCCTTGATCTTCATTTGATTTTGTTCCTTTCCTTCCAGACGTGTCTGGCACCTTCTGTCTCTTTTCAGTGGGTCCTCACCAGAAGGTGCCTGAGACTGTGGCAAGCATTAGGGCCTCAGCAGCCCTGCTTTGGGCCAACCCTGTTTGGCTCACCAGGGGATGAATAACTTTGGGTGTTTCGTGTGGAATCTACTTTCCCTATTCATTCCCTACTCTTTATTATTGCATGGTAATTGGATTTCAGTTATTTTCTATCAAGGATCATACAGTTTAAAGTATGTTTTTTCTTGATGTGGCCATAGCAGAACATATTTAGAGCAAGCATGTTTGGGGACCCCCAAACCCTGTTCTGTAACATTACCAGTTGTGAACTGGCTGCATCCACCACCAGGAACATGATCTGAACTCGCTACTCAGAGTGTGGTCAAGAAACCAGAAATTTTATCAGCACCTGGGAGCTGCTTAAAATGCAGAAATATAGGGCCCCAAATGCCAGGGGAGGGAAAGGACCTGGGCACATGGGTATCCACAGAGCTGAAATCTTGTCTGGAAAGAACATGTTCCTAGTCCTCCCAAAGCCCCACCTGCTGCTACAGCTGCAGACTGTGATCGTGTCCTCTCTACAAGCCTGTGCACATAGGAAATTGTGTCCCCAGAGCCATGACCCACTGTGGCCACCAGGGGGCGCCATGTCACCCTACTGTCACAGCAAGGCCTCCCAGGGACTCCTGAGGTTCAGTCTCTTTCTCTGCTCCTGCCTCCCTTCACTCTGCCCCTGGGTTCTACTGACACATTCCTCCAAGGGAAGCTCACAAGCCCGCAGTGTGTGACTGCCAGGTTCCTGTACTCACCTTCGAGGGAGGGCCTTGGCACGAGCCTGCCAGCCCCCCGGCTGAGCACAGGGCTGACAGTCCATAGCTGAGAGCCCTGCCAAGGAAGCCCTGGTCCACCCACAGGCCTGGGTGAGCCTGCAGCACCAGGGGGCTACTCTGTCAGGACTCAGTGGGGGCTGAGAGCCAGAGGGACAAGGAAACAGCTGGACACGTTGAGACCTTGCGCCCCGCCACCTCCTTCTTAGGGTGAGTCCGCATTAGCAGGGGCAGCTTTGCCTGCTGTCACCCACAACGACAGCTCATCCTTTTTGACTGTGTCCCCAGGTTCTGTCTGCCCTCAGCCTCCTGTTGTGTCCTGGAGTCACCCTCCCCTCCCCCTGTTCCACGTGCCCCCAAGTCCCAGTGTCTGATTCTGGGATGTCCAGAGGAAGCTCCCCTCTCCCCAAGGAGGCTCTGCAGGGAGCGCTGGTGCTGCACTGGCTAGAGGGGCCCCACCTCCATGGCTGGCCCTGCCCACCCCATTTCAGCCTGTTCTTGTGCTGACAGGGGACACTTGAGCAGCTCTGGCTGGAGGAGGCAGGGTCACTTGTGGGAGGGACAGGGCGCAGCAGCAGGAAGGAGCCTGGGGAGAGGCTGTCCTGCAACAGGTGATTGGGCAGCGCCCAGGGAGCCGGCAGGGTGGGAGCCTGGGCTGGGAAGTCGGAGGCCGGGGGTGCCAGGTGCTGCAGCCATGTCGTGCCAGCCCCGGGGGTGGGCACTGCCCTGGGTGGTGCTCCTGCTTCTCATGGGTCCCCAGCTTCTGGTGACTCAGGGCCTGAGGATCCAAGAAGACAAAGACAGAGATGGCAGAGTCCTCTTGAACCAGGACTTCCCTGCCACAGTGGAGTACGCCTTGCACATGTTCAACATCCAGAGCGAGGACACGAATGCCTACAGGCTGGAGCGCATCCTGAATTCCTGGACTGAGCAGGTAGGGGACCGCATCAGCTCAGGAGCCTCGATGGGTGTCAGTGAGGGTTCCGTTGGACATGGTAGCTATTCGAAGACCATAAAACAATTTTTATCAAAAAATCACATGGAAAGTTTTAACGCTTTTTCATCTCACATGAACGGTATGTTTAGCTATCATTACTTTTATAAAAGTCAATAAAGACAATTTAAAATAAGTGATACTGTAATATCAGGTCTTCAGGCCAAGTCTCCCAGCCAAAACAGATCCCAGGCTGTAGCGGCAGTGCTGAGTCCCGGCCACTAGGCCAGCACGGGCCGGTGTCTCATGAAGCTGCTGCAGGAACTTCGCAGATGCTCAGGCAAGCAGGGGAGAAGGCAAACTGGGCTAGAGGAAAAAAAAGGTTTATTGAGGAGAAAAGGAACAGAAATAAAGTGGGATTCCCAGGCTGGTGGAACCAGAACAGAGAGGGGCAAGAGAACACAAGTGGAGTCATGCCTCAGGGAATATAGACCTTCTGGCCTTAATTATTCAAAAGCCCCATCAGTCTCTCTGTGACTGGTTAGTTCTCATGGTCTCACTCACTGCCTTCATGTCTCTGTGCCCTGAACTAAGTCTCTGTGTCCCAGCCTTATCTTAGAGTGCTTTTTCTTTATCAGCCTTGTTCCAGAAGGTGCTGTTGCCCCTAGTCCAGGGGTGTTTAATTTGACCCCTTTAGAATTTGTTACTCTTATCTCTGGAGCCTCCCTTAACTCTTAAAGTCCCTGAAGCTGCTAAATTATCTCTAACTTGCCTTGGAATTCATTAGGTCCATTAGAGGCGAGATCTGGCAAAGGAAAGGAGCCAGTCAAAAGCATTGGAAATGATAGAAGAATGAACTTTTCCAGAAAACAAGATACAAGAAATTAGGAATTATTAAGAAAAAGCCGGAGAGAGGGGCCAGTAGCAGAGGATGGGGTTCATGCTCTTCAGTTGAAAACTGCTAGCTGGCAGGCCTCTTCCCTGATCCCTCACATACTGGGGACTCCTCCTGTGTCCCCACCAAGGACACTGATGATATTTAGACTCTCCCCAGACCATGGCTTCTCATCCAGAATGTTCTCCTTGCAATGGCATCCACAGAGGATTCAGCATGAGTCCATTTCCACCAGGCTGCTACATGGGTGATGGGAGCACCCTCCTCAAGGAGTACATCTGCTCTGTGTGTGTGAGAGGGCATGAGAAGGTGTGTGAGTGGGTATGAGAAGGTGTGTGTGAGGGTGTGAGAGGGTGTGTGAGCGGGTGTGTGAGGGTGTGAGAGGGTATGAGAAGGTGTGAGAGGGTATGAGAAGGTGTGTGAGGGTGTGACAGGGTGTGACAGGGTGTGACAGGGTGTGACAGGGTGTGAGAAGGTGTGTGTGTGAGGGTGTGAGAGAGTGTGAGAGGGTATGAGAAGGTGTGAGAGGGTGTGAGAGGGTATGAGAAGGTGTGTGTGAGGGTATGTGAGGATGTGAGAAGGTGTGAGAGGGTGTGAGAGGGTGTGCGGGTAAACTTGCATGTATCACTGTGTTGGCACAGTGGGGGGTTATGTTGGTTATGTTGGGGGAGGGCGGGAGCCTCAGGAACATTCTATCTCTCACTTGGGGCCTTGGGCAGAGCTGGAGGGGGGAAGGACCTCTCCCCCAAGGAGCTCAGATCTGGGGTGTGGGAGTCTGTCCACTGTTCCTGCTGCCCGTGCTCTCAGCCTGACCTCGCACTCGGGTGCTGTAGGTCTGCTCAGAGGCAGACCTGTGTGTGCTGGGGGATGATGGGGTGCACTGGGGCACATGCAAAGGAAGAAGGAGATTGGAAAGGAGACAAGCAATGCAAATTCATGGGCAAATAGTTTCCTGAGGCCACTGTGCCTGCTCGTGTGAGTGTGTCTGTGTCTTGTGAGTGTCTCTGTGAGTGTCTACATGTGTCTGTGTTTGCACGTACTGCCGACTGTGTGACATTTCCTGTAACAAGTTGGGAAGGGACATCATGGGGACATGGGGCTGCAGGAGGGGTGACAGTCATGGTGTGGGAGTTGGCCCCCATCCACCCCAGTGTACCCCCAAGCCCACCCGCCTCTGTGCTCTGGACACCCCAAGCCTGGGTTATCCCCACGGGCTGAGCAGGCCCTCCCTGCACTGCACACTCTTCTGGAGCAGCACTTAGGGGGCAAGGGGGTCCCACTTTTTCTCTCTGTGTTCCCAGATTGTGGGGATGATCGCATTCTCCATGGAGCTGCTGCTTCGCAGAACCAGGTGTGAGAAATGGGAAGAGGACATTGACAACTGCCCCTTCCAGTCAGGTCCACAGCTGAACAATGTAAGACACGTCAGCTTGCCAGGGACGCAGCAGCGGAAGCGTCATGGCGGGCAGTGGTGTGGGGCAGAGTCAGGGCCAGGCTGGGCCCCTGGGGCAGGGGCAGAGACCTGCTAGGCCCATGCTAGGCTGCAGGAAGGCACAGCAGGCAGGCAGTGTCAAGGGCTCCCTGCAGGCCCGGGTCCAGTCTGAGATCCTGTTCTGCACACTCACTCCTTTCTGGTGCCTAATCCCTGAGGTTTCTGAATGCATGGGCTCCTGTGTCCTGGGGTACTCTCCCCGTTCTGGATTCCCCTCCTTGCCTTTGTCACCCACTTTCCAGCCTCCAGAGCAGAGCACATGAAAACCTACTACTGTAGCTTTGTCCGAGTGGCCCCTTCTCCGTTTCTCTGGCTCTCACCCCAAGCAAGTGGTGACCCGGCCCTCCACCCAGGACCTGTCCAGGGACTCGCTGAGCTGCGACTATTGCTTTGGGGGGTAAATGGTGGTTTCTCTCATTCCTGGGCCCCTTTGAGAAAGCCACGCTGGGAAGGAGCTGCTGGCTGATGTCCAGACATGGATAAGTCTGTGTTAGTTTTGAGGCAAGGGACTATAGGGGATGGGGAGAATGTCAGGAGAGAGAGACCTGTTTCAGAAAATACAGGACTCAGACCAGCTGCTCCCCCCAAGAAGCAAGGTGGGGTTGGAGCCTCCATTAGCACTGGAGCCCAACCCCAAGGCCCTTTCTGTGAACTAACACTCACCCTGTGCTTGTTCCCTCAGACATACAACTGCTTCTTCACCATCGGCACTCACCCCTGGGAAACATATTTTGAACTCCTGAACAAGACCTGCTTGGAGGGCTTCCATTGAGTTCAGCATCCCTTCGCAGCCTCTTCAGAACACCAGCCTTCCTGCAGGCAGCGGCAGTGCTGAGCAGCAGCAGGCTCCGTGGCTCCTCTCTCAGCAGACGGCTGGGTCTCACAAGTCCTCACGCAGGAATTCCTCCTGCGCACCCTCATCCTGTAGAGAGATCATTAAACATCAGCATGTCAAGACGCTCGCGTGATGCTTCCAGAGGGAGGGCTGTGCACTGATGGGTCACCCCAGAGGACAGCCTGAGTCCCCAGGCTGGGGTCCTCCTCCCAGGGACCTTCTGGGCTGTTCCAGGGACACATCCCACGAGCTCAGCTGTCTGACCGCTGTGTCCAGGCTCCTGAGCGCTGACCTCTATCTAGAGGTGCCTGTCAGGGAGCCCAGAGAACAGATGTACCCAGACAGGGCCATATCCCCTCCGGGACACAAGTGGCCCCTGTCTGGGAGAATTTGCCCACATATTCCCTGTGACAGCAGCTTGGAGGAGGGAAGAGGGTCTCCATTCAGAGGACACCCAGCCTCCAGAGGCAGCATCTCCTGGAGCCTCTTAGAAGTGTTCAGTCTCAAGACCCCCAACTTTACACAAGGAGTCTGCATTTCACAGATTCCCCGGGACCAGGGGGCGCTCCAGCGGCTCTAATGCACCTCTGTGCAGACCCTGCCCGAACCCATCAGAAGGGCGCCCAGGGCCTTCTCTGTAGTTAGGTGGAGAGTGATGGCGCTGGTGGACAATTGGTCTCGTTCTCATCAGCCCAATATGTCACAGCAGAAAAGTACCACAAAAGGAAGCACACAGATAAATGATTGTTTCCCAATAAGCAGCACTGGCCTGGATTTGGCCTATATATTATAGTTGTCCCCAACACTGACACATTACCAGGGCCCCATGTGGGGTGAGTCGTTTGTCACAAGGACAACCCCACAGACCACTGGGATGCCAAGAACTATATAATTTAACTCTTATTTTCATGATCATTAGATTGCTATTTTAAAATTCAACATTCTTGTAGGGTAGAGGGATTTGCCAAAGCCTCATGGAGTATCCTGCGACCTGCATCGTTTACTTCTTCTCTATTCTGTACAATTAATACCAGATGTATTAGACTCTGCCAACTTGATTGTAAATTGCTGGTTTTGTCTGTGACAGAATCGACTGTCCTGTGTAATATTCTAACTCCAGGAAAAAAATTTGGATACACATCTGTGAGTATTGGAGCTAACAGATAGTTTATTTCTCTCCCCATCACATACCTACGGATCACTACAGATGCTTCACTTTCAGCACTCGGCCCAGCCAGGTGCTCTGTCAAAACTGTTATAAAACATTCCTGCTTACTCTTAGCTAGTGATGTAGGCAAACACTCTGTTCCACAATGCAGAGCGTTAATATAAGAGTAAACATGAAGCTCAGTAACAGAGTAAAGGGGGAACTTTCCATCTAACTTAGCACTTTTACACCATCAGCCTGAATTTTGTTCTAAACAACTCCAGCTAGGGAAGGTATGGATGTTCTCCCCAAGTCAGAGGTGGGCAACTGAGGTCCAGAGGCTCAAGACACGGCAACGCTAAAAGATGAAAAACTGGCCCTCCCTGGTGGCGCAGTGGCTTAAAGCACAGCACCAAGAAGCTAAAGCCACTTCAGCATGAGTTTGATCCCCACCTCCGAGGTGACCCACATGGTGCAACAGACCTCTCCTGACCCACTCGGTGCTCCCCTCAGCAGTGTATTTTGTCAGTTGGTCTGTTCTGCTCCCCACTGTCTCTGCTGAATCCTCTCACCACCATGTACCCCAGCTCTGTATGCATAAATAAATAAATCTTTTAAAAAAAAAAAAAGATAAAAAACTGGCAGAACCCAATAGTACCCTGGAATGCTTAAGGGAATTTATGAGATTCAACCAGCTGTTGTAGGGGCCAAGGATCTCAGTGTCTTGCAGCAGGAGAGGCCATTTATCACTGAACCTATTCCAACATGCGTGTACAGGGGGCCTTCCCCCAGACAATTAATTTTGAGAAACCAGAAGGGAGTCTGGCAATTCAGCTCCATTCTCTCCATCTACCTGGAGAGAGCAAGGGCTGCACAATTTAAGGCACTGACTCAGCCTCCACATCAGAAGCCAGCCTGAAGTCCACGCTATTACCTGTGCACATGAGTAACCAGCTGCAGATTGGAGCTCCCTGTGATCCCTTCTCCAGGTTCAATTATTTGCTAGAGCACTCTACAGAATGTAGGACACCTTTTTCCTCACTAAATCACTCTTCCATGAGAAAGGAAATCAACCAGGAGCAGGGAAGGAGCTGCATAGGGCGAGCATTGCAGAAAAAGGAATGGGGTTTATATTCCCTTTCCAAGAACAAAGTTCTCCCCAGATGTCCAGATATTCACCCACACAAAAGTTCTCTGATGGCTTCCTTTTTTGCTTTGTTTGTTTGTTTGTTTCCAAATATTTATTTATTTATGCATACAGTACTGGGGTACAGGCCAGAGGTATAGGGGCAGTGAGAAGACTCACCAGAGACAAGAATGGGAAGCAGAAAGAGCAGATTGAGTGAAATACACTGCTGAGGGGAGCCGCGCAGCGGGTGAGTCAGGAAAGGTATGCTGCCCCATGTGGGTCACTCCCCCCAACCCCGCCCATCCCCTCATTCAGCCCCAATCTAACACTTGCTGAAGCAGCTACAGATAGCCTAGCAATGTTGTGCTTTAAACCATTGCACCACTAGGGAGGGCCCTTTGATATTTTTCAGAGGCTCTTGGCATAGGCCTGCTTGAGGTAATCACTGGACACTGGCAGTACTCAGCCTCCAGCCCCTAGCCTCTCCCAGGTCTTGGGGTGAGATTGAAAGTCTCAACCCTAGATGGCAAGATTGGTTCCCAGGCAACTGCCCTCACTGAGGTGTTTCTAAAAGTCACCTCATTCGCATAAAAAAAGACACCTTTTCTGCTCTCAGGCAATTCCACCTCTCTTTGGAACTATGAGTTGGAAAACTTGGATGAAGACAAATATGCATTTCTGGACGCTCAAATATGCATCCTGCGTTCATCAGGCCATTGCATTCACACAGGGTCCAGGGCAGAGGGTGTTGGCTGGGATCGCACTCAGGGCCACTGTGAACCTGCTTCTGTCAGGTTCTTATGGCAACACACAACACCATTTTGTGTTCCCAGAATCCAGAGGGTCCTCAAGGAGAGAGACAATGTAGGGGATGAGGAAGCAGACCCAACGCCTGGCAATTGCTCTGTGCCTCTTTATGGAAAATATTTGCAGAACTTCCTCTGCTGGGACGTTTGGGCAGGGTCTGCACAGCATCGGATGACTATTGCATCTGAACACCCATGGTTCCCAGCTATCTGTGAAATGCAGTCTCCTTGTGTAAAGGTTGTTCTAAGAGGCCCCAGGAGATGCTGCCTCTGGAGGCCAGGTCTCCTTCTGAATAGAGACTGGAAAACTTCCTCCCTCCTCCCAGCTGCCGTGGACAGGTAATATGTGGGCGAGTCCTCCAAGACAGGGGCCACTTGGAGGGGATATGGCCCCGTCTGGGCACATCTGATCTCTGGGCTCCCTGACAAGACACGGCCTTGGTGACGCAGACAGAGGTCAGCGCTCAGGAGATTGGACAAAGCAGGTCAGACACCTGAGCTCATGGGATGTGTCCCTGGAGCAGCCCAGAAGGTCCCTGGGAGGAGGACCCCAGCCTGGGGACTCAGGCTGTCCTCTGGGGTGACCCATCAGTGCACAGCCCTCCCTCTGGAAGCATCACACGAGCATCTTGACATGCTGATGTTTAATGATCTCTCTACAGGATGAGGGTGCGCAGGAGGAATTCCTGCATGAGGACTTGTGAGACCCAGCCGTCTGCTGAGAGAGGAGCCACGGAGCCTGCTGCTGCTCAGCACTGCCGCTGCCTGCAGGAAGGCTGGTTCATAGGTGCAGAGCTGCAGCCCATCCAAGGTATCGTCTCACTCACTCAGATGTATCCCTCAAAGCAGGTCTTGTACAGCAGTTGGAAGGTCGTTTTCCTGGGGTGAGTGCCGATGGTGAAGAAGCAGTTGTATGTCTGAGGGAACAAGCACAGGGTGAGTGTTGGTTCACAGGAGGAGCCTTGGGGGTTGGGCTCCAGCGCTAATGGAGGCTCCAACCCCACCTTGCTTCCTGGGGTGAGCAGCTGGGCTGCAGAGCCCACCACCTGAGACCTGGATGCTCAGAATCAAGGACCCTCTCCTGACATGGCAGCCACTGAGGTCAAGTCCCATCCCAGGTCTGGTTTCAGGGAAGCACACTCTATCCCTGCACGATTCCTGACCCTGAAAGCAAGAAAGGGATGACCCTTCCATGAGTCCCTGTCTCAGGGCCCCCTCCCCTAAAAGGGCCTCCCCACAAGGTTCACTACAACCTCCCTATGTCTGTCTCCTCTCAGTCTGGGCATCGTCCCAGTGGGACACTGAGCAAGCCACTCAAATAGTAGTGTGGGTCCTACATGTCCCTTCTCCTGCCCAGGGAGGAGCTGGATAATTTGCAAGGAAAGAAAGTCTGTATTTGGAGCAGAATAACAGAGAGGAAGATGTAAGGCACAATCCAAATCCAGTAGGTTCCGTGTGGAACCCAGAAGGGTGAGTGTGCAGAACAGGATCTCAGACTGGACCCGGGCCTGCAGGGGGCCCTCGACACTGCCTGCCTGCTGTGCCTTCCTGCAGCCTAGCATGGGCCTAGCAGGTCTCTGCCCCTGCCCCAGGGGCCCAGTCTGGCCCTGACTCTGCCCCACACCACTGCCCCCCATGACGCTTCCGCTGCTGCGTCCCTGGCAAGCTGACGTGTCTTACATTGTTCAGCTGTGGACCTGACTGGAAGGGGCAGTTGTCAATGTCCTCTTCCCATTTCTCACACCTGGTTCTGCGAAGCAGCAGCTCCATGGAGAATGCGATCATCCCCACAATCTGGGAACACAGAGAGAAAAAGTGGGACCCCCCTACCCCCTAAGTGCTGCTCCAGAAGAGTGTGCAGTGCAGGGAGGGCCTGCTCAGCCCGTGGGGATAACCCAGGCTTGGGGTGTCCAGAGCACAGAGGCGGGTGGGCTTGGGGGTACACTGGGGTGGATGGGGGCCAACTCCCACACCATGACTGTCACCCCCCCTGCAGCCCCATGTCCCCATGATGTCCCTTCCCAACTTGTTACAGGAAATGTCACACAGTCGGCAGTACGTGCAAACACAGACACACGCAGACACTCACAGAGACACTCACAAGACACAGACACACTCACACGAGCAGGCACAGTGGCCTCAGGAAACTATTTGCCCATGAATTTGCATTGCTTGTCTCCTTTCCAATCTCCTTCTTCCTTTGCATGTGCCCCAGTGCACCCCATCATCCCCCAGCACACACAGGTCTGCCTCTGAGCAGACCTACAGCACCCGGGTGCGAGGTCAGGCTGAGAGCAGAGCACGGGCAGCAGGAACAGTGGACAGACTCCCACACCCCAGATCTGAGCTCCTTGGGGGAGAGGTCCTTCCCCCCTCCAGCTCTGCCCAAGGCCCCAAGTGAGAGATAGAATGTTCCTGAGGCTCCCGCCCCCGCCCAACATAACCACGCACATCTACATGCCAACACAGTGATACATGCAAGTTTACCCGCACACCCTCTCACACCCTCACACACCCTCTCACACCCTCACACACCCTCTCACATCGTCACATACCCTCACACACACCTTCTCATACCCTCTCACACCCTCTCACACCCTCACACACCCGCTCACACACCCTCTCACACCCTCTCACACACCCTCTCATGCCCTCTCACACACACAGAGCAGATGTGCTCCTTGAGGAGGGTATTCCCATCACCCATGTAGCAGCCTGGTGGAAATGGACTCATGCTAAATCCTATGTGGATGCCATTGCAAGGAGAACATTCTGGATGAGGAGCCATCGTCTGGGAAGAGTCTAAATGCCATCAGTGCCGTTGGTGGGGACACAGGAGGAGTCCCCGGTATGTGAGGGATCCGGAAAGAGGCCTGCCAGCTTGCAGTTTTCAACTGAGGAGCATGAACCCCGTCCTCTGCTCCTGGTATCTTTTTTCCTGGGAATATGTCATTTGTCTATCACTTGCACCATTTTTGGCTGGCTCCTTTCCTTTGTCAGGTCCCTGACCCTAATGGATCTTATTTTGAACTGTTTTAAAATATTTATTTATTTACTTACTTGTCTGTCTGTCTATCTATCTATCTATCTATCTATCTATCTATCTATCTATCTATCTATCTATCTATCTATCTATCTACTTATGCATACAGAACTGGGCTGCAGGCCAGAGGTGCAGGGGTGGTGAGAGGTTTCACCAGAGACAGAGTGGGGAGCAGAACAGTCAGATCAATTAAGTACATTGCTCAGGGGAGCAACAGGCGGGTCAGGGGAGGTCTGCTGTGCCATATGGGTCACCTCCAGGGCCAGGGATTGAACTCACCCTGAGGCGGCTGTGGCTAGCTTGCAGTGCTGCATCTGAACCCGTTGCACCACCAGGGAGGACCCTGAATTTTTTTCATTAACTGTTTCATAAAATTAACAATGGCTGACAATAATGCTCATGTGAGATGAAAAATGTACACAAATTGTCATGTAATTTCTTGATAAAAATTGTTTTATGGTCTCTTGGGATGACCAAATCCAACTGAGAGATCCCACACCCCACTGCCATCAGTCAGGCTTCTGGGCTAAGATACAATCCCTTACCTGCTCTGTCCAGGAATTCAGGATTCGTGCCAGCCTGTAGGCGTTCAAGTCCTTGCTTTGCATGTTGAACGTGTGCAAAGCGTACTCCACGGTGGCAGCGAAGTAGTCTTGCAAGTTTATTTTGTCATCTCTGTCTTTGTCCTCTTGGGCTCTCAGGCCCTGAGTCACCAGAAGCTGGGGACCCAGGAGAAGCAGGAGAACCATCCAGGGCAGAGCCCACCCCCAGAGCTGGCACGACATGGCTGCAGCACCTGGCACCCCCGGCCTCCGACTTCCCAGCCCAGGCTCCCACCCTGCCGGCTCCCTGGGCGCTGCCCAATCACCTGCAGCAGGACAGCCTCTCCCCAGGCTCCTTCCTGCTGCTGCGCCCTGTCCCTCCCACATGTGACCCTGCCTCCTCCAGCCAGAGCTGCTCAACTGTCCCCTGTCAGCACAGCGGGACAAAAGCAGGGTGAAATGGGGTGGGCAGGGCCAGCCATGGAGTTGGGGCCCCTCTAGCCAGTGCAGCACCAGCGCTCCCTGCAGAGCCTCCTTGGGGAGAGGGGAGCTTCCTCTGGACACCCCAGAATCAGACACTGGGACTTGGGAGCACGTGGAACAGGGGGAGGGGAGGGTGACTTCAGGGCACAACAGGAGGCTGAGGGCAGACAGAACCTGGGGACACAGTCAAAAAGGATGAGCTGTCGTTGTGGGTGACAGCAGGCAAAGCTACCCCTGCTAATGCGGACTCACCCTAAGAAGGAGGTGGTGGGGCGCAAGGTCTCAACGTGTCCAGCTGTTTCCTTGTCCCTCTGGCTCTCAGCCCCCACTGAGTCCTGACAGAGTAGCCCCCTGGTGCTGCAGGCTCACCCAGGCCTGTGGGTGGACCAGGGCTTCCTTGGCAGGGCTCTCAGCAATGGACTGTCAGCCCTGTGCTCAGCCGGGGGGCTGGCAGGCTCGTGCCAAGGCCCTCCCTCGAAGGTGAGTACAGGAACCTGGCAGTCACACACTGCGGGCCTGTGAGCTTCCCTTGGAGGAATGTGTCAGTAGAACCCAGGGGCAGAGTGAAGGGAGGCAGGAGCAGAGAAAGAGACTGAACCTCAGGAGTCCCTGGGAGGCCTTGCTGTGACAGTAGTGTAACATGGCGCCCCCTGGTGGCCACAGTGGGTCATGGCTCTGGGGACACAATTTCCTGTGTGCACAGGCTTGTAGAGAGGACACGATCACAGTCTGCAGCTGTAGCAGCAGGTGGGGCTCTGGGAGGACTAGGAACATGTTCTTTCCAGACAAGATTTCAGCTCTGTGGATACCCATGTGCCCAGGTCCTTTCCCTCCCCTGGCATTTGTGGCTCTGTAGTTCTAGCAAGCCTAGAACATTCTGCATTTTAAGCAGGGGTGCTAATATTTCTGGTCACTGAGCCACACTCTGAGTAGCAGGATTCAGAGCATAACTTATCAAAACTTACAGAACACTCAATTATAAAAGCAAGGAGGTGGGTGCTGGAGAATGGTTTCTATCAGGGAAGAGTCAGAACATGTGCCTGGTGTGAAGAACAGGAGGGTTTCTACTCCCAGTCTCCAGAAGCAAGATGTGCTTTTCAAAGAGAAAAGACACTTTGAGCCAGATAGCCTGTCACTCCTTTGTCACCTCCCCACCCCCCACCTCCTCAGAGTGATAGTTCCAAAAAAAAAAAAATTTAGCTTTAATAAAGACCCAGGGATTGACTCTTCAAAGTTTTCTAATTTCCACTGTGTCAAATATTTTTTTTCTAGTTTTTGAGCACCAAGATATGCCCTGCTTAAGGTGAGGGAATGTTCCAAGTTCCCCCTGTAGTTAGGAAAGTGGCCATGGGGGAGCCATTGGAACCTATGCAGAGCATTACTGACACAGCTCATTTCTTCCACTGCCCACTTTTTCCCACTTGTAGACATGGGCACCGAGTCCTGAGAATGTTTGCAGTAAGGCTTGCTTTCATGAATCTCCAGGGAAATGAAAGGAGAGCCTGATCGAACATGGATTCAGGGATTTTTGCCCTGCCCATGCTTAACTTGCAAAGGACTCCTGAGTTGTGGGTGTCAGGGCTCTGCAGGACCAAGTGGCAGTCTCCAGTCTCCCCACGGGAGATATTTGGGAAGCGAAACCCCTTCCCACAGATCAGTGAGCCCAGGATCGGGACCATAGCGCTTCTCCCTAGATGACGGTGACCAGGGAAGACCACCGTGGAGGGGACATGAGCTCTGACTCTTCTTGTTACATGAACCACCCCCAAGGCTGTTTCCTTCCGGTGAAGCTTTTCAGCTTCTGTGTGTTTCCATCTGGGTTTCCCCAGAGTGTGCAGGCAGCCGTCCCCGTTTACTGTCATTCATTTATTTTCCTTGAGACTAAGCACCTGAGTGTTCCTGCTAAATTTCTGGCCATTTCCAGACTTTAGTCACTCAGTCAATGTCTTAGTTTTCACTATTGTGTGTTTCATCTGTTCTGTAATAATATCTACCCTTATGCAAACCAAACTTTATGATTCCCTGTTTATAAAGAATTGACTTCAACAACCAACTATACTGCCACCTTTGATCTGCTAAAAGGTCTCCTTCTAGAACACTCTGAGGAACAGCCACACGTTGCTTAATGACAGGCATGTGTTCTCAGATGATATCATCGTTGTGCAAAAGTCATGGAGTGAAATTACATGAACAGATTCTTTGCCTGTTATCTTATCTACCTTGGCTACAAACACAGAGCTTGGATTGTGGCCAAAAAGGTAACGAATCAATATTGTACCCCATGTCATTACTGAGACAGAAACATATAATTTTTTTTTCTCTAAAATGGTTGTTCCTGATTTCCGCTAAACACTGTGTGAGCTGTGGAGACTACAGCTGGTGGACTCTGGGCTGCCCAGAATGTGAAAGGTGGGCCACCCCCAGAGCTGTTGACAAAGCTGAGGCTTCAGCACATGGGTCCCCGCCTGCCCTGATCTTCCCACTAGGCTTAGTGTCCTCATCCAATTTAGTTGACCCAAGTTGCCATTTTTAATCATTTTTTCCCTCCTTACCACAAAGAGTTTGCCTGCTGCTATATCAGAAACAAGAAAAGAACAAGTAGATATGCTAGAAGAACCAATAGTTCTAAGCAATGAAGGACATTTCTCTGACCAGATTAAGAATAAGACATTGAGGTCAAGATGTTCCCGGGTCTTATCTCAGCATGTGAGGGGTGGGGTGGGAGGCACAGGGACATGCAAGGGCATCAGGCAGCTAAGTGCTAACAAGCAGGGGAAAGTATCCCTTGGTAGAGTCTCTGAAGAAGGAGCTTTCCCAACCAGTGAGAGGGGGTAGTTTTGTATCTCAATTTCAGCCATGTCTGTGGGCAATTAAGTCCAAATCTCTTTATTATACTCAATTTCAATCAAGTTTTTTTTATGTATTTAAGTTATTAATGAATGGATACATAGATAAATGGATTGATTGATGGGTGAGTAAACTGATGGGTAGATGGGTGGATGGATTTGTTCATCTAGATGCATATATTCAGACAAAGTCTTTAGAGAGAAAGTATATATCCATGTACTTGATTTTATCCTGGTTTTTTTCAACTAATTATCTCAAAACATAGTGTGTTAAAGCAAGCTCAATTGTTTTTGAAACTATATGAGTCAGAAATTCAATTGTGAGATTGCTGAGTAGGTCTTGTTCAGGGCTTCACTGTGACATTGACTACGGCTGTTGGCTGGGTGTTGTAGGGCCTCTCCAGTTTCCCAAGAACACCCACATGCCTCTTAATAAATCTGCTCCACACAGAGGCTGATGAAACCCAAAGCAAGTGACCAAGAGAGACAAGGACCAGGGGAAGCAGACAGCCACTGTGACTTTTACGAGCCAGCCTCTGAAGCTGTACACCATCCTTTCCACCAAAATTATTAGTATGACCAGTGTTTCAAGCTTTATACTGGCCCTCTAGTTAGATGTCAGCCGAAGCAAGTTACTGAGTGGGGCAGAAGCAAAAACAGGAAAAGACATTAAGTTCTACCTGTTGAAATGAAGTGATTCAAAGACTTTGCAGCTGACTTCTGCAGACAGATGAGCCGAAAATGTTAAGGGTATACAGCAAATATTTTATGTTTTCTAAGCTGATTAAAATCTATTTGTGTAATAGAGAAAAGGAGAAAAAGGAAAGAGTTGAAAAGACAGAAAATAAGGAAGGTAGGACTGAGAAAGAAATACAAAATACGGTCAGATGAGGAAAAGTACAGGGAGAACAAAGAGAGATGAAGACGGAAAGAACAAAGCTCCAGGAATGCTCACAAGTGACTGTTTTGTTGGGACTTTGCCCTTGGTGAGGGCCAGTGGTCAGTGGGCCTTATTCCCTGAGGTGAGTCCGCAGGAAGCTCTATATTGGGGTGGGGGGGCACCTCCCTGCTCTGCCTGCAGCCAGACTGACTATTTGGTGATGTGACAGAGTAAAGATGTGCAGGAAAGCCTGGGGCCAATGCGTGCCAGTAATTATAGTCTATGAAGGGGAAATAACAGAATTAAGTTTAATAGTGTCATACCTCAAAGGCAGGATTGGGATGTGGAATTACTCCTAGACCAGGCAGTAGGTTGTAAGTGGTAAAACAAAACAAAACAAAACAAAACATTTGGTTGTTGAATGCTCATACTTGCCCCTCTCTTTGCATGGAATGATATTCAGGAAAATACATTCAGTAAGTTACCAAATTTGTTTCACTTGAGGCCTGCAGAGAAAACTGGGTGCTTAGTGGGTGGGGTGTGGTTGGGCCAGACACCCTTGAGAACCTTGGTTGGTGAGTCTTTGGGAGAGAGAAAGGGCTACTCTGCCTGCCAGAGTCTCAGGCTTCAGTCTCACACAGATCTCTTAGCCCCTGAGCAAACCAGGCCCCACGCCCCAAGTAGTCCCTGTGCTCCCAGGCAGTCCATCAGCCTCCCTCCCAGTCACAGTTCCTCCTGGTCATCTCTCCTTATCCTATAGGGTTCTGGAAGGAATTTAGCTTCCTCTTGTGTCCTTGATCAGTCCCATGCTTTTTCCTTGTTTCAGGGGTCAGATGCCCCAATGCACTGAGCCCATCCCACCCATGCCTGATGCTGATCTAGGAGCTTGGGGGCAGGAGGATGGGCAATGATCTGCCCCTGCTCCCAGAGTAGCCTCCCTTCATGAATAGTTCTCTAGTTTAGGAGAAAGGGACTGTTCCCAAGCCCTACCCAGGGTCAAACAAGGTCATCTGCCAGTCCCAGGTCCTTCTTGG